TCTAGAGTAGTTTATAGTAAAATTTATGAAAACACCAGCACCATTAGAATAATCTGGCATATACATAAAGGAGAACAGAATAAAAATAAATCTCAGTAATGGATTAAAGCAACAAAATAAATGTTGACTGGAAAAAGCAGGATAAAAACATGTATTTGACTGACTTCTCTTAGTATATTATGATCTGGTTGGTATTGCCTGGCTAAAATGATAGAATGTAAATTAATAGGCATGTTATTGGTCTACTGAAATTCATACTTAGAGAAAATATAAGGAAGACATCATGAAAAATATCAAATATATCCATCAGAGTGTAAGTAATTTTTTATAGTTCATGGTTGCTATTTAATAAAAGTGTGGTTATAGAACTGGCAGGATTGCTGGGGTGAAATTCAGAATAAAGTTACTAGATAGTTCAGCAGGCCACATCTAAAGTACAGATACAGGATGTGCTATTTTGTATTTTTCATAATACTTGAGAGTAGGACAGGCTTTTGAGATATAAAACAATCGGTAAATCTTCAAACTTGAAATCTATTGTCAAATAAAATTTGGGGCTCACTTTCTAAAACTGCACATTACCTGAAGGGTACAGTGTGAAATCATTCCTTCTCCCTCCAGTGTCCTTTTGCAGGAAAAAGTTTATATAAAAATAAAATCCTACCCTAGCAGACAAACCCTAGAACATTTAGTATACTAATTCAGATCCATTTCAGTTTTTCCTTTTTTCCCTCCTTCCCTCCCCTCCCTTCTTTTGTAGTACTGGGAATTGAACTCAGGCTGGGACTTGAATTTGGAACTTGACAGATCCACTTGCTTTTTGTTTTTTCTTTTCTTCCTTCTGATGGTAATGGGTGTTGAACCCAGGGCTTTGTGTATGCTGTATATACAACCCATTTTAAATTTTGAGACAGGGTCTCACTAAGTTGCCAGACTGGGTTTAAGCTTATGACCCTTCTGTCTCTTGTGCCCAAATAGCAGTGATTACAGGCCTGCATCCCCACACTGGAGTTCTTTATACTTCTTCTCATCATTTACTTAATAGTACTTTGGGTCATTATCACCTTTCTCACTTAAAATACATTAATATCCTTTTTATTTCCTGAGGAAGGAAGATTATTTCGATAATTGTTGAGCTTAACCTCCAGTGGTGTCTTACATTTTGGACTTACTTTAAAGACATCAGAGCCCTTCTGTATCTTAATTTCTGGGGTCTGTATATAAATGAGTGTCCTCATAACCATCAGCTAGATAAGCAAGAATCTTTTAAGGTAGTAGAAAGTCTGATGGTTTTTGAAATGTTTAGTGATTTTTATGGGAAGGAGTTTACCTAAGTGGTGGATTTTAGTTTTTCTCAGATATTAACTAGGAAGCTTTTTGGGGGATAATTTCTGGTTTAATGCCTGTTTTTTCCTGAGCAGCAGTGTTTTCTTCATTGATACACGTAAGATTCTTGGAGGTTTTTCTTATCACAAAAGACGCTTGTATGGAAAGTGAAAATTCAAGTGAAAATTCAAATTTTTTTTCTGTAGAAACAAAAGAATTTTGCTTATTGAACAGAAACTTGCAAAGTCCTTTGGAATCCACTGGATTATAGTTTACTGTGTCCTGCTAATAGGAGGTAACAGGATTCATTAAGCCTTTGTTATATACTGGATTACTCATAAAAGAACCTTACGTCCTGGGCTGGGCCTGCTCAGAGGTATACCATTTACCTAGATGTTTGAGGCCCTACATTCTTTCTCCAGTGATCACAGTGGTGGGCTGGGGGAAGACCTTCCTTATTTCATAAAATACAGCTGTATTATAGTTGAAGTGACACACTAAAATTTGATAGTATGCCACAACAAATACAAGTAATTTTATACAGTTAGGGGTTTTGGTGGTGGTGGTTTTTTAAGTATGAATACATGCTGTAAGATTGCTGATAGCAATTGTTATAAATGATGAGTTATTTCATTATAAAGATCTTTCTAGAGCAGGATTCTTCGATCATTCATGGCAGAGTGAAAAAGAGTTACGTGATTCTTGTTCAAATAACTCAGTTCTTAAAATTCTAAAAATTGCCATAAGCCATTATCCTTTAAGGATTTATTTAAAGTTGCTGTATTTAAAAAGTTAAAAATTTTGTGTACAGGTAGATTTTTCTCCCACTAATAGATAGTACCTTTTAAAATACTAGCTAGTATTAGCTAAACTCCTGTTAGGCCAAAGAATCCCACATTTTTTTTTTTTTATATAAAAGAAGACATATATTAGGATCAGATTGTCCCTTTTAATACTATTGGAGATGCTGTTTCTTGTTTTACTGATGAAAATATTTTACCTGTAGGGACTCTTGGTAATGGTTGGCCAAGTGATATTCTTTTTTACCTGGTTGAAAATTCATTTTTTTAAAAATTAGGATAGCATTGCAATTATGAAAACTGAATGTGTGTAACTACCCACATTGTCTTAACAAAATATTTTTTATGCAGATGATAAAGACCAAACCAATGGCTGCACTCTTAGTCTGCTTATTTGTACTTGTTCTGCTTCTGTGTATGTTGTAGAAAATGAAATTCTAGTAACTTGCTTCAGTTCTATTATCTTTTTGATACTTATAAAAATGTATTAGGTTTTACTATATTGTGCTTTTCAAAGCCATAACTCTTAAGAAATTTGTTTTTGCATATTGTTTGCTAAATTTTATTTTAATAAACCTCAAAATCTGCTTAATGTGTCATTTATTTGTGGTACTTTTTTCTGATTCATGTTTTATTAAGTGGAATTACAAAAGAGGCATGAAATTATCAGTTGATGCAACCAGTTGAATTTTTTTGTGTGTGCTAGTGATAGAAAATGTGTCTATACCATACATTTCCACTGTGCTCAGAATAATCAGGTTTATCAGAACAATCACTCTTTCCATTGTTTGTAAGACACTTGATGTGTTTTTCTTTTTTTTTTTTTTAAAGGATGATTTAGGCCTATAGTCTTAAGTTTCTCTGAGTTTAACCACTCATTTTCCTTCTCTAGATTTCACTGTAAGTGAGGGGGCTTGACAGGACAATTTGGAGGCATAATAGGCCTCAATTAACTCATCTATAAAAGTCTACTTTATAGAACATTAAATGAGGTGATACAAATAAAGTACTTAGAACAGTGCCTAGTACAGAATAACTCATACTTCCAAATCACCGTAATCTTTTACATTTCTGTTATTCATATGATTCAGAGTAACTATTTCTGATGCTTCTTGATCTTGGTGGGTCAACACTTGATTATCCACTTTGTGAATTAGATGTGGTTTTTTTTCTTGTCCTGTTTTTGAAAAAAAATTATAAATCACAGGCTAGCTTTTTATCAGCCTTCTATGGTGCATACTTCCACTGCCCTTTACATTACATATATACCAAAAGTAGAGAAGCCAAACTAAGTATCTTAACCTTAAAGAGTAAATATAAAGTTCTTACTCTTCT